CTAGACAAAGGTAGTTGCACGAAGAACACAAGTGACTAGTTCTCAGTTTGTAGCTCCATGAAGGTTGTGATGGTTGATTCAGATACTGAGTAATGGCAGCAAATGGGCTGGAGTCTCGATTGGGCTCATGGAGAGATGGTTTGTTTGGCATTATTCCTGGTCCTTTGAGAGGAAGGCTGTGCTCTAGAATGTGCTGCAGTCCATCCCCCACCCTCCACATTCATGTCACCTGTGTTGCCCTTGAAGACATTAGAGCTTGGGGCTGCCAAAAGAGGATTGAGGGTCCACCAGGAATCCCCAGTAGATTTTTCACAGCAGAGGCTTTTGAGAGCAATTAATATTAGAGAGTTTGAGGTAGGGGTAAGTTTTGGCAAAGAAGGAAGCCAGGAATTTGCCTTCAACTGACCACTGAGATATCCTTTGTCATGAATGGAGCAGAGGGTAGGGTTAAGGCCCATTATAAAAATTAACATATAAGCCAGAAGATTAAAAAAATACAGTGATGTATCTTGAGACAGGGACACGACATTATTAAGGACTATGCCTAGAACTTTGTGACTGGATATGGTTAGACTGGGATGGGAAGGGATATGTTAGGAAAGTAAAGGGAAAAGGGAAGTACAAAACACCCAAGATTTTGAAGCTGGATGATAGGGTAATGATGTATAAGAAGGTTAGGGCTCTGATCACTTGAGATCAGGAGTTTGAGACTAGCCTGGCCAACGTAGTGAAACCCCATCCCTACTAAAAATACAAAAATTAACTGGGCATGGTGGTGCGTACCTATCATCCTAGCTGCTGGGGAAGCTGAGGCAAGAGAATCGCTGGAACCTGGGAGGCAGAGGTTGTGGTGAGCTGAGATTGTGTCACCACTGCACTCCAGCCTGGGCAACAGAGCAAGACTCTGTCTCAAAAATAAATAAATAAAAATAAAAATAAAGTTAGGACAGAGGGAGAAGGTCAGGAGGAGGTTGATGGATTGGGTTTTAGATGTAACTATGGAGTAATGGTAAAGTATCTGCATAGTGGAGTTCACTAGGCAGTCAGTGCTTCAGAGATGGAGAGGACAAAGGAAAGAAGGGAATCGGGGGAGGTGCCTTCACAGAAGTAAGAGCTTAAGACAGGAAAATAATGAGTTCTGAAAAGGAGAATAAAGCAGAGAGGGCAAACGGTTTAGGCTGGAGAGATGCTCATGGTTTGAGGACTGACAGAGGAATAAGAACAGCTGTAGAGGAATAGAAACAATGAGAGAAACCTGCCACAACCATCATTGGAGAACAGATACAAGAAGGAGGAATGGCCAAATGGGTCCAACACCGCAGAATGAGATCAAGAACAAACATAGATGAGGAAGAGGTACAGATCAGGCAGTAGTCAGGTCATGTGTCAACTTTCAGAGACAGGTTTTAGTGTGATCAGGCAGAAGTCGGGAGACAAGAGGAAATGGGTAGAGAAAAAATGCATTTCTCCAGGAGCTGGGGTGTGAAAGAGGGATGGGCCAGTTTTGCTGGAGAGAATAAGAGGGAGTGCAAGCTTGGCACCTAGCCCTCAGATCCAAGGTGACTGGGCCTGTTTCCCTGCTGGGCCAGTAGCCCCCATGCTAAAAGGTAGGATTTAGCAGGGTCTGAACATGCTAGACAGAGCTTCTGCAAGGCCAGGGCCTGCCTCCCCTCCCTGTGGCAGGCTAGGGTTAGGGCTTGACCTGTACTAGAGGATCTGGGAGTCCTTCATGGCACTGTAGGACCCTGAATGTGTTCAGACCCCCAGGTCACCAGGACACCTGGGCTCTGCTGTGTCCCCACAGGTTTTTGCCCTGACTCAGGCTGAGGACTTTGGGTGTAGGACCCGCATTTCCTTACGCAGAGGTTGGTGGGGCATTGAATGAAGGTGTTAATAGGCTCCATGTAGCACAGGCACACGGGCCTGGTGCATCAAGTGGCCAGAGCCCCTGCTTGGTGCCAGGAAAACATGGGATGCCTGAGCAGACAGAGACCACTCAGCAAATAATAATGGGGCGACCCAAGAAAATGACCCTCAGAGGGCAGTGGAGACCCAGGCATTTGAGACAGCCTGGCAAATGCATAGCACCTGAGGGCCGTGTGCATGTATGTGTATGTTTGGGGGTGAGAGGAGGGTATTACTAGCCAAGGGGACATATGAACAACCTATGTGCAAGTTCTAGGACCTTCCTATACTCCTGTACCCCTATTTGAAGACTTCTGTTCAACATACCCATGTGGCCCATTAGAATGTTCCACTGAACAGGAAAATCAATGTGCAATCAGGAGAGAATCTCAAAGGACCTTTCCAGCTGTGGCATGCAGAGATCCATAAAGCTTAATCCTTTAAAAGGAATTATTCTAAATAGCACAGGAGTGAGCATAAATGAATGAAAAGTCCATGAATGTGGGGACTGAATCCTGTAATAGGTAGCAAAATGGCATGATAAAGAGCATGGGCTCTGGAGACAGACCACCTAGGCTCCAATTCCAGCTCTGTCACATGTGAGCTGGGTGCCCTAGGGCAAGCTGCTTAACCTCCCCAGGCCTCAGTTTCTCCATCTGTAAAATGGGGATAATTAGACTTGGCTCTCAGGCTTGTCATGAAGATGAGCGGCTTAATATTTGTAAAGTGCTTAGAACAATAACTGACACATAGCACATGCTTTCTGGGTGTTAAAAAATATTCTTACCCTGTTGGGTTTTTAAGTGATGCTCTTCTCGGGGATCTTTATGACATACTTTTGAGGAAGATGAGAAACCAGGCTTCTTAGCTCTGTTAAACATTTTAGACACACAAACAGTCCTCACTTTGCATGGCAGTATGGGACTGTAAAAATGACCATGCAAGCTAAAACTGTGCAAAGCAATCCTAAAAATCAAGGGAAAAATTACAACTGTTCTGTGACCTTTAAAATTTTTTGTCAAAGCATTAGAAACCCTTACCATAGGTTGTAAGTGTGTAGGGAGACAAGCAAACAAAAATAGTAAAACAAATATTTTAGTACACAGTAATTTGAAACATTAGAAACAATGCAACATTTTAAGTGTTTTCTTTCTTTGTAAAAATAAACTTATTGAGAGGTTTTTTTTCGAAGTTCTTGCCTTCTTCTCTTTGCATAACTTACGATACTGAGGGAACATCTTTTCTCTGCCAGTGAATTGCCATAGTCCTTTATAAATTTGCATCAGCTTCCAACATCTTATACTCTTTGCTTTCAATGTTGTGAAATACCTCTGAAAGTTCCTATAATGTGAAGATTTTTGCTCGCATCACTTCCTGTGGGACATCTTCATCCTTTTTGTCGCAACCACTTTCCTCATTTATGCTTTGAACAATGGTTTCAGGTTTCATCAATATAAATAGAAACTTTAAGGGTCCTGGCTGTCAGAAAGTCACATAGAGCTTACTCAGAATGATGTCAAATTCCACTTTAGAAATTTAAAACCTCAGCCTGTTAAAAATAGCTTGTCATCAACAAAGGAACCAGATGATAACAGACACAAGGCTGACTTTTTAGTCTCAACTTATATATATGAAAAAAACAACCCCAAAACTGCTCAACATAAGCGCAGGCATTTTCAGTGCCCTGCATCCAAGCATTAATGATTATTTAAATGGTAGAATAACATAAAATGATGAAGCAACTGGATAAATTCAACTATGTTGTCGAATTTTTGTAGTTGACGGAAATCAGTCTTTGGACTTTAAGATCTCATGTAGATCAGAGGAGAAATACAATTACATACTCCTTAAGAATCTGATGAAAGTTATGGCCTTTCTCCACCAGAATGTGCACATGAGCCGATACAATGTTATGCAGTGTTTCAAGGAATCCACAGAGCCCTGGATATCCAATTAGAAGCCCTGGCTATGAATCTAGAATTTTATTACTTTATTACTAGGTGAAACCCAGCCCAAGTTCGTTTGAGAGCCACTGCAAGTTCCAAAAACTGTAGGGCATGTCATCTGCCACTGAAAATGCATTTAATGATGACTCACTCTTTCCTCACTATACAAGTTTGTTCAAACTACACCTCTTCAGCTACAAACTACCTACCATCCCTGAAACTCTGTTCTGAGAGTAAAGGGATTACAAAACCTGGCTGAAAATACAGACTCAATAGAATGTTGAAAAACACAACAGAACCAGCACATCAGATTGTAAATTGATTGTCTTGCACAGGATGTTAGCTGCTCTTCGAATGAGGTTCCTGAGTGGCACCTGAGCCTATTGCTGGTGGCATCCTATTCTGCCGTTCTCTTTCTTCCTCCTTCCCCATTCCTTTCTTTCTCTTCTCCCTTTATTCGTCCTCTGCAATTCTTTTTTTCCACACTACCGTTGGCAGGTCCCTAGGGACACTGTTTAATCTGGCCCATGGTACAAGAGATTTTAGATCTTCATTGAAGTCACTAGAGATGGCCTGAGTGAGTCACTTTGAATTTAATAGGCAAACTGATGGAAGGCTCTGAGAAGACCTCGATGCCCAAGAATTGTGTTCTTACTATAGAAACTATTTTGATCAAAAAAGTCATTTTGGTCAAAAAGAGGAGTTGGGGGAATTGCTTTTTTTGTTTTTAAATTGATTTGGCTTCAAGGGAAGAAGATTGCCTAAACAAAACCTGCTGATGAAGTCACAGAATGACTCCACCTCTGGAATGAGCTTTATTTTCTTATATTTTGACAAGAAATTTGGCTTTCAATTGGGAATGCACGTCACTCTACCCACTCAAGGGCAAGATGATAAGGTTCTATCAGACCAAGCGTCTAAAGGAACCTGAGACTCTACCAAGGTCAGAAATGCTGCAATTCAAGCCAAAAGATCTTTCTTGGGCTTCCTTGTTTTGACTTGTAACCATAAATTAGTCTTGCCTGAATGTCTGATCACATTATAAAACAGTGAGTGAATCTGTACTGTGCAGCACCGTCTGAAGCAACAGGAGCTGTAGATGAACCTTTAAGGGGATTCTGTAATTTTCTGTCCCTTTGATTTCCACAGGACTCTAAATTGCCCCCTCTGAGGTCAAGGAACACAAGATGGTTTTGGAAATGCTGAACCCGATGCATTATAACATCACCAGCATGGTGCCTGAGGCCATGCCTGCTGCCACCATGCCAATCCTGCTCCTCACTGGCCTTTTTCTCTTGGTGTGGAATTATGAGGGTACATCCTCAATACCAGGTAAGTCAGTTGTTTATTTCCATTTCTAAGGAGATTATTTACTTGGGATTTTGGTCCATGATGGTAAAGAAAATTTTGCAAAAGGACAAAAAGCACACCTGGTAAGATCTCTGAAGACTATGGCTGTGTTAGCAAATAAGGACTTGGGTGAAAATTTTCAAACCAATTATCTGCACATTTTAAATGGAAGCACTTTAAAAAATCTTAGATAAACCCTTCCAGTCTGCACTGTGCTTTCGTAAAGTGGACTTGGCACAAGTACCTTTAAAACAAGCTCAAGATGGGGTGGAGTAAAGTAAAATTCCAGGGTTTTCTGGTTAACTTTTAAAAATGAGATTGCAAATTTGCTCTGAAGGTGAAAATGTCTCTGGAACGCCTTCTTCACTGCTTTTCTTCTCCCTTTCATTTTGCTTCCTCCATGCCCCCTCTTTGTCTTATATTTATCCCTTCTTTTTATTCCACTCATCATTTTCTCTTATTCTTGGGAAGGTGGTGATAGTGGTCCCCATTTTTCTCCCACTACCTGGCTCCCATAAGGGTCAAATGGGATCCAGGCAGTGGGATAAAAATGCGGACCACTCCAGTACTCTTGGAACATCACACCCCGAGAGAATCTTCAACAAGATCTGTGGGTCAATCAAAAGTGGAGAATAATATAATTATCCAGATAATCCCAATAGAAAACCCCACCCTTCCACCGTTAAAGCTACAGTGATCAGATATCAGATTAATTCAGAATGACCTGAAATTTCAGACTGCTTCTTTAGTTTTCAGTGAAGATGCCTCATTGCAGACACATCTGTTTCCAATTCCATAAGATATCCAATGAGACTCTAAGAGCGTAGTTGTTACACACTGGTAAGTGTGGTGGGCCTCGTCTTAGTGGAATCAGAAGTGGGAGCATGGGGCTGGCACAAAATGCTCTGTCTGGATTCTTTTTAACATGCAGATAATTGCCTGTCTCTCTGCCTGATTCAGCCTGATATTTTAGATTACTTTAACGCCCAGTTTAAAGGAACATTTAGTTAATTTTGTTCTCTGCTCCCTGACAGGGTCAGCTCTAGAGAAGGGAGGCTCAGAGCTAAGGGATGACTGTTTCATCGTCTTTAACTTGAACTCTCTTCCCCAGTGTGGCCCTTCCTCACTGGATTTCTCCTCTCCCAAGGGGGCTTCATGGTCAGGGTCAGTGAATGGTCGGGGTGGGGTGAGTACGTAGAGGGGTGGAAAGCCTTCTTTTTCCTCTTCTTCCCTTCATAGGCCCAGGTGCTAAATTCTAATTTGTCTGTATTATCAGAGAATCAGGCCAGGAGAGTCCAGCACTGCCCACACAGCATTGCCCATCCAGTAAGCCACAGGTTCTCAAGCTTTTAAGTCTATGTAAGAACACCCAGCAGGTAGGAGCTTGTTAACATTTCTGTTCCTGGACCCTGCTCCTGACTTTTTGACTCAGGCTCTTCAGGTCTAGAAACATGCATTTTTAAAAAGTTCCCCTGGATGCTTATGCTAATCAGCACTGGTAGAATTTCCTTGGACCCTTGACCAAGCAGGTCAGCCTGTTAGGACAAGCCTGAGAACCAGCAGCCCTGAAGCTCTGGATCAGCAGGAGAGTAGGCAGCATCTCACTCTGTCCACCATTTCTGGGCCAGGGCCATCATGCTGCATCCACTGACAGTCAGATCAAGTAGCACAGTGATTCTCAGCATTGTCTGAGGTAGGGGCTCAGCTGGTTTGGGGCTGCTATTTTTTAAAAAATCTCCACTCCTGATTTTTTATGAGCAGCCAAGGTTGAGAGCCACAGATATGAGCCTAACTCCTTCATTTGACAGAAGGGGAAACTGAGACCCGGGGAGCTGATCTGCCTTGCCCAGGCAAAATGCTATGACAAGCATGAGAAGCCATGGAGTTCAAACTCCTCATTTTACAAGTGGAGGGTTAAAGCCCAGAGAAGGGAAATGGCTTGTCAGCTCCCCAGCTGGACAGGAAGTGGGAATGTAGGGGGGCCACCAGGAAGTCCTAAAGCCCAGGTTGATGATCATTTTGCTAGACAGGTAGTTTCTAGTTTCACACTTCCCCTTTGAAAGCAGAAGGTCTAGTTAGAATCCACTAGTAGCACAGACTGTGAGATCCTATGGTTTCTGGTTGGGGGAGGGAAGATAAGAAAATTGGCCTTGTTTGGGGTGGTTTTTGCTGATCAACACTCCTGAGCTCCTGCCAGCTCACTTGAATCAGTGGCTCTCTAGGTTCTTGGTTTTAGAGGTTTGGGGGAAGCGCAGAGTCAGGAAAGCTCAGGACCAGTGAAAGCTGGAGGAACTTACAATGATTTAAAGTCCTTGAGTGAGTTATAATTTACAAAGCAGTTTCATGCCCATTTTCTATGGTGAGGTTGGTGTGTTTGTGTCTGTTTTGTAGGTGGCAAAACTGAGACTCAAAGAGTCACACAACTAGTAAGTGATGAAACTGGGGCTCATATCTAAGCTGCTTCTAGCTGTATTTACTAAGAGGCCCTGTTCTCCTGCTTAGGGGCAGGAGGATGTGTGAAAAGATTAAAGAGATGTGGTTTCTGCCCCGAGGGGATTATATAAATGTAGTAAAGACAGTCAGGGGCACACACATAGGTGGCTGACTTAGTGCCAGGTAGGGGCTATGAAAGTCCTGAGGAAAGGGTCATTCCTGCGGGGGAGGGGGAGGGGCCAGGGTAGTGGGGGGCAGGGTTGGAAGCTTCAGTTCTGAAAAATTGCTCCCAGTCTACTGATCTGGGTCAGGACTCACAGTCACCTGGCATGGGCTGCTCTCCCTTCCCCAAGGACATATAGCCATGCCCAGCTCTGAACAAGGGTCCTCTCCCTCCATATGCCGTGCTGTGCCCTGGGTACCACATCCCAGAGCAGAGAACTGGGGGGGAAAAAAGCATGGCAACTGACATTCCACTTTTTCTTATTAAGATAATGTTTCACAGAAAAGTGCACAGCGCGGTGGTAAATTTGCCATCACAATGCAGCCTGAGAAAGCGGATGTTACCCTTGTTCCAGAAGCTCCTCGCGTGCCTTTGCAATCACTCTCCCTCACTCCAGAGCAAAACACTGTCTTTGATTTTGTGACAGTCACTCCCTTGCTCTTTTTTTCATCATTTTACCACATAATTTCATATCCCAGAGAATACTGGTTAATTTTGCCTTGTTTTAAACGTTTTAGCAGTCAATTCATACATTATGTATTCTCGTATCTTGCTTCTTTTGCTCAATAGTGTGTTTCTAAGATCCATCCACATTGTGGCATGCAGGTGTAGTTCATTTTCATTGCCATAGGGTATTGAGTTATATAAATATCTCATGGTTTAATTGCCAGTTCCACTGTTGAGGGACACTTGAGGTGTCTTTAGTTTGGGGCTATTGTGAACAAGGCTGTTCTGAATGTATATGTGCACACAGGTTTCTCTATGGTGTATATGTGTAAGGCGTGGAAAGCAACAGCTTGTTGATTAGGACAGCTGGGGAGAGGTCCCAGCTGTTGGCTCCAAGGAGGCTGTCTCTGTACAAAAATGCAGCAAAGCATTCACTACTCCTTTTAGGGTGTGAAAGAGGCTCCCACAATCACTGCATGCCTAAATAAGCATTCCTAAATCTGAGAAGCAAAGATCAGCTTAATGTGGATACAACCAGAATATTTCCCTAATATTTTACCAAAGTTTCTACCTTCCTCCAGCATTCTTCTCTCCAGCAGGAGGGTGGGTAGAAGCATAAGATATACACATAAATGAAAAGGTCACACTGTGTTAAGATTCTTTTATTTTGTAATTATTTTTCACATACTCTCCTGTCTTGCCCCTAGACTCTGATGGGGACCATTATACTTATAATATCTCCAGTCCCTAATTTGGAGCTAGTGTCTATACCAGTAGTATCTATACCAGTAATTGTTTGTTGGATGAATTAAGCTGATACAGAACTGATCGCTAAAGACTCAAAACTGTGGTTCTCTTCTGGTTAGAACACTAAGGTTCTTAATCTAAGCACAAGGTTCAATCTCCCTTTTTCAGTAGATACGTCTCTCCTGCGTCATAGCTTACATTTGAATGGCAGGTCCCAAATATTAAGATTTTTACATGGCAGGCTGGGTGTGGTGGCACAAGCCTGTAATCCCAAATCCCAGCTACTCAGGAGGCTGAGGCAGAAGAATCGCTTGAACCCGGGAGGCGGAGGTTGCAGTGAGCCGAGATCATGCCACTGCACTCCAGCCTGGGCAACAGAGCCAGACTCTGTCTCAAAAAAAAGGATGGCATTTAAAACTTCATCCTTTATATTAGATACACATGCCTAATTAATTTTTAAAATTTATTCAGGAAATATTTATTGAGCATCTACAAAGTGCCAAGCTGTAAATATCCAGTGAGGTAATATTATGCATATATTAATTGATTAAAGGTTAATATATCTAATGACAGTTTAAGGAAATACATATTCAATCAAATCTGCCATGGAAATCTTTTAAAGAGCTTAATGAAATTATTTTAATACGAAGTCAGTCATCTACTGTATAATGTAGTGTTACTAAAATAATCACAAGATTAACAACCTTAGACCATATTTTGGTTCTATAAGTATCAGCAAACATCTTCTATTTAAAGGGAAAAAAGAGCCGACAGTCTTGCTCATATTAACTCAGCTATTGCAAAGTAAAAGACTAAAAACTGTTTGCTGTGTTTGGGACTAAACATCCAATTTAGGTGATTCAAGCAAAAGCTTACACTATGTATATCATTACACAACTCTTGCCCATAAGGTGAGAATGCTGTCTCACGTAGTTAGGAGTGTTTTGGCTTCAGAATGATTTCACTGGCAGAATGGAATTAAAGGAGAAAGATTCAGAAAAACTACTACTTGACAATTTCTAAAAAATTCTAAAACTTTTTAATCGAACTTTTTACCACCACCAGTAAAATCAAAGTACCAAGTTTGTTCTCTGATATAAGCAACATCAAATTCCCCAGTTGTTCCCTGGGTTCATGTTCTTTATAATTCTGCCATCCTCTGCATAAGCAAGGTTGTAAGCAGCCACTACTCTCAGCTAAAACCAGATTATGGGACTCAAACTCCAGTCTAGAGGCTCAAAGACCCATTGCCTGACTCCTCAACTCTTAGCTTCATTTTGCCTAATGAGATTTAGCTTAAGAGCCTTTTCTTAAACAGTCTTTTTTGAGGGGAATAAAATAGATGTTCTTGGATTGGACATTGTCCTTGTAGATCTTGTTTCTTTCAGTTGAAAGATTTCCTACAAAACTACAGACCAGTTTTAACCCACCTATTCTGTCAACTGGGGCACTCAAACCAAAAGTTTCCAGAAAAAAACTACGCGCCAAACAGATCTGCCGGCTCGTCAGCGTTTCCATGTTTGCTACCAAACGCACGAATTGACTTGTATTCAAAACTCATTGATACCGGTTAACCTGGGAAGAAATTAGCACACACACCCCAGTTCATTCAGACTGAAATGACTGAGACCAAATAAAACTAGTGTGGCGTGGATACTGAATCCTTTTTACTCACGGAGGGGTGAAGAGCCTCATGTTAAGTGTGAGGCTTTTGTTTTGTTTCAAATCACTTTATTCATGATTCACAGATATACATCAAATGTAAAGAACACTTAGCTATAAAAGAACAAAAACAGGAGTAACACAAAGCAGTTGCAATTTTTGGTGTGACTAAGATGTAGCTTACGCTCTGACACCTGTCCTAGGTCCTGGCTACTGCATGGGAATTGGACCCCTCATCTCCCATGGCAGATTCCTGTGGATGGGGATCGGCAGTGCCTGCAACTACTACAACCGGGTGTATGGAGAATTCATGCGAGTCTGGATCTCTGGAGAGGAAACACTCATTATCAGCAAGTGAGTCTGTTCATAATCGGAGACATACTTTTTTTTTTTTTTTTTTTTTTTGAGACGGAGTCTCCCTCTATTGCCCAGCCTGGAGTGCAGTGGCGCGATCTCGGCTCACTGCAAGCTCTGCCTCCCGGGTTGACGTCATTCTCCTGCGTCGGCCTCCTGAGTAGCTGGGACTACAGGTGCCCGCGCCACGCCCGGCTAATTTTTTGCATTTTTAGTAGAGACGGGGTTTCACCGTTTTAGCCAGGGTGGTCTCGATCTTCTGACCTCGTGATCCACCCACCTTGGCCTCCCAAAGTGCTGGGATTACAGGCGTGAGCCACCGCGCCCAGCAGGAGACATACTTTTTAAATCGAGGCTGGAGTTTTTTCCACTTAAGACAGCTTTATTTTGATTATTGATGTCTTTGTTTCTAATGCTATATTTTTACCACTGAAATGAAGGTGAGCAATCCCCAGAAATCTAACATTGAAACAGAATAATTGGGTTTTGCTTGAAATGAAGTCAGCGGTACATAAATAAATAACTCTAGAAAGTTGGGAAATTATTTACAGTCTCTGTGAGCAGTGAATGTGGAAACTTAGAAGCCAGATAATTTGATTTCAACGAAACATACTTTAGGGAGAGGTGTTATCTTTTCTGCTTTCCTAAGTTTTTTGGTCTTAACCACAAATAAACATTAAAAAGAACCAAGCCAAACAAACAAAGAAAAAACCCATACAAAACAAAAATAAAACCCAAGACACCACTGCACTATATTCTGGGTGACAGAGCAAGACCCTGTCTTTTAAAAAGTAAAATAAAACCTGAGGCAGAGGTATCTGATCAGCAATTTGCTAATTTATTCTCCTGCCAAGCCACTGAGCACCTCTAAAAGAGCAGATGGTAAACCGACCTTGGCTGAATCTGATTAAAGAAAAAAGAAAATAAAAGAAGAGACAGTAGAAAAAGAAGTCATTCACATGCTGCTCTTCCATTTATGACTTTACACCAGTATCCAGTGGAGGGATCTTACATAAATCAGGAACAATATTACCCATTTAAAAAAATAGTGTCCTCCCTCTCTGCATTATTATATTTTGTGGATAACTAGCAGATTGAATTAGTTCTATGGTTAACTAAATAGGAATTCACTATAAAGAACTAGTTTGGTGAAATACTCGTTTTCTTGTTTATTGATCTTAGAAAATGGAGAATTTCAAAGGCAGCGTATTTCCCTAGACTTTCAGCCAGTTTTAGTAGATTTTTAGCAAACCTATGTGCAAACACTGTCTCATTAACACATTTTTATATTTGTAATCCCTGACAGAGCTTTACCCACAAACCGAAGCTGACCAGGGTGTTTTACCAATTTGTTCAAATTATTCATTCAGATACAAAGACTATAGCTCAAAAACAAGTGAAGCTTTTCTAGAAACTACATAATTTTTTCAGGTCAAGATTACATACATCATCTCATAAAATACCACGGTATCCTCAAAGCCCAAATATTTGAAGCAGATACTGAAAGAAGGAAGCAGGAGAGAAATAGGTGTTATTTTAATACTTCCAAATATTTCAAACTATCCCAAACAATTTTTTTTTGGCCTGGGATTTTTTTGTTTGTTTCATTCAGTTTCATGTTGTAGCACTTCTAAGGGTAGCTAAGGCAGACCTCACACAACTAAACAGAAATGGCTTCAGGTGGAAACAGCATTTCATTGGGTTCATTGTGACGTACATTAATGCAGTAGTTTTCAAAGTGTGGTCCTTCAACAGGCAGCATCAACAAGCCTGGGAACTTGTTAGCAATGCACCTTCTTGGGCCCCACCCTGACCTACTAAATGAGACAGTCTGGGGTGGGACCCGCAATCCGTGTTTTAACAAAGTCTGCAGGTGATTCTGCTGCACACTTGAGTTTGAGAACCACTGCTGTAAGAACTAGATCATAATTACTTTTTAAATTTTAATTCTCCTGGTCTATTAGGCTTTAGTCAGCCAAATTTAAGTGACTATGATATGTTCTTGATATGTTCTCATTTTAAAAATCAGTACTTGAGTCACTTTTACAACTGGCTCCGGTCTCACAAATATCCTGGAAGCGCTGGTGTTTGGGTTTGCGGGTAGGGACATTTGCTGCTGCTCTTACATTTCCCCACACAGCCACCTGCCTTCCAGCTCTCCCCAGCCCAGGGTCTGCCTTCCCCACCACCTCTTTCCCTCAGCAGACAGGTGAAGTGACCCCCAGGATATTTATCTAGAAGGATATCTACCTGCTGCCCAGGATCTAGCACAGTGCCATGCTTCTCACCCTCGCTGTACCTTACAGTCACCCAGGGAGATTTTCAAAGCCCCACTGCCTAGGCCACACCCCGACTTTTAGATCAGAACCTCTGAGGGTAGGACCCAGGCATCAGTGGTGTTTAATACTCCCCAGGTGATCCCAGGGTGTGACTGAGTTTGAGAACTTCCATCTGGAGAGGGGGTGGAGGAGGAAGCTCCTGGGGCAGGAGGGCCTCTCCCCGGGGTTAGGGGAAACAGCGATGCAGGTTTGGTTTTGTCTTATGCTGAGGTGGTGGCAGTATAAGACTAGAATTGGTGTAAAGAATGATGGAATTGAGAAAGGACCACAGTACCAGGATAGAAATCATTCTGACATACTAGATATTTCAATGCTAGATTCTTAAGTCTCCAGAAAAACTCCCTGAATTCCCAAAGACAGTTCTTGAAGTGGTTGCTCATTACAGTGGGGGTGGCATCTGACCACTCTGCTAATCTTAATTAGGAAACTGATTCCAACAACCCCGACCAAGTCAGGCGCTTGTGCACGCAGAGACGCGGCCACAACCCACCCACCCTACCCCCAGCTCTCCCAGTTCTTTCCTTTTCCTGTCCTCTCAGGCTTTTCACTTGTTGGAGTCTTTGTGTTCTCCTTAATTGCCTCAGAGCAGTTCCATTTTGTTGTTAAAGGCTGAGCTCCCCGCGGGAATAGGACATGTTTGTCCCCATCTCCTTTCCTTGCCTGCTCTTCAAGTCCCTTCCAGAACTCCCCGTACCTCTTGAAAAGACCCCACTGGACCTCAGAAAGCTTTTTATTTTTATTTGAATAGTTTGCCAGATTTTTTTTTTCTTTTGAAAAGTTTGAGGTCTGTAGTCATTACAACTGTGTAGAAATTATGGTCCAACTTTTCCAACCAGCTTTGTCCCAAAGTAATGGGGGCTGCAGAACTTCAGGGGAGAAGTCAGGCATGTGGGCTGCTGCGATTCCGCCTGCACCACTGGGGGCGTCGAGGCACAGTCCATCTGGTGAGATGTAGATGATGTGTGCACCGTTCTTCCCCCAGGCAGCTACCCAGGCAGCTGTGCTCTAAATTAATGAGGGTCTGTAGGTGCTGCATGACACTATACGTCCATTATATGTCCCTAGATTCGTTTTTGTCATGAATACAAAAAAAAATTTATGTAGCACTCATAAAGGGAAATTAGCAATTAGCATGCTAATTCAGGTTCTATTTGCATATCTGTTAGCAATTAACATACTAATTAGGGTTATATTTTTACATCTGTCTTAAAGATGTGAAAATTTACACATCATTTGCAGGGGTTTCCTTCATTTATTCTTTGAATGTACATTTACTGAGAATTTATTATATACTAAGCACTGAAGCACTGAATGATTCTAAGTTGTAATAGTCATTACTGGCTCTTCATCCATTAAATATTTATTGAAAACTTACTATGTATAGCAGCAGGTATTGTTCTAAGCTCTGGGAATACAGCAGTGAAAAAACCAGCCAAAATTCCTTTACCTCATGGAGCAGTATGTTGTTACTAGGTCAACAATAAACAAGTAAAATATATAGTGTATCAGCAGAGTGACCAATTCTTTCAGTTTGTCTGGGACCAGGGCCTTTCCCAGGATGTGGGACTTTCAGTGCTGAAACTGGCATAATCCTGGGCAAACCAGGATAGCTGGTCACACTGTTATGAGGCAGATAGGTATTACATAGAAAAAGAATAGGGAAAGCAGATGGGGGAGGACGAGTTGTAGAGACGCAGGTGTGATTGTAAATAGGTGGTTCAGGCAGGCCTCACTGAGAAGACAGCGTTTAAATAAAAACCTAAAGGAAATGAGCAAGTAGCCCATGCAGAGACCTGGTGGAAAAGCATTCTAGACAGAAGGAACAGCAAGTACCAATGTCCTAAGGCGAGATCCTGAGTGGAAGAACACAGGAGATGAGATGAGAGAGGCAATAGGGCACCAAATCACGTCAGGCCTTGCAGGCCATTGTAACAACTCCAGCTTTTACCCTCTGTGAGAAAGGAAGCCACTGAAGAATTTGAGCAGAAGAGTGACGCATGTGACTCATTTGTGTTTCAGCAGAATCATTCTGGCTGCTCTGTTGATAATAGGTACAAGAAGACAAGGGATGGGGACAGAGAGACCAGTTAGGCAAGAGGTGATGGTGGCTGGTCCAGGTGGTAGCAGTAGAGGTGATAAGATATGAGGGAAAATTCCAGACATATTTTGAAGGCAAAGCCAACAGACTTGCTGACAGATTGGATGTAGGATGTAAGAGAAAAAAAAAAAAAGAGTCAAAGTGCTGTCCAGTTTTGCATTGAATGGGGACATCGTGTCCTAAGATAGGTGGAGCAAGTTGGGAAGGGGAGAGATTAGGGTTCCATTCTAGACATGTTAGATTTGACATGCCCAGTTGACATCTGAGTGGGATGATTGAGTAGAGAGGACTGAACCTGGAGACCCTCTAATGTAAATAGGACAGAAACTAGCAACAGAGACTGAGAAGGAGCAGCTGGACCGAGAAGAGAAAACCAGGAAAGTGTGATGTCTGAAAACCAGGTGAAGAATCCATATCAGGGCGTAGGAAATTGTGAACCATGTCAAATACCACTGATGGGGAAAGGGAATGCATGGAGATTTCAGTACTGCGTTTAGCAACAGGGAAGTCCCAAGTGACCTTGACAACAGCAGTTTCATTGGACTAGTCAGGGCAAAAGTCTGACCAGAGAAGAGAATAGGGGGAGAGGAATCAGAGGCATCAAGTGTAGACAAGTCTTCCAAGGAGTTTGCCATAAAGAAGGCAGGAAATGGGACAGTAGCTGAACGAGATGTGCAGGCAAAGAAATTTGATTTTTAAAATAGGAGAAATTACAGCATGTGAGTTGTAGGGGGTATGGTCAGTTATGGAGGAAAATCAAATGATTGTTGATGGAAGAGAAAGAAAGGGTGTGCTAAGTGAGATGTGAAGAGGTCCCTGGGGACAAGTGGATGGGTTGGCCTTGAATGGGGACATGGAATTTCCATCATAATAGGAGGGAAGGTAGAATATATGGGCACAGGTCCGGGTCGTTGGGGCTTGCGGAGATTCTCTAGTAGTTGTTTCCATTTTCTTGGGAAGATTGGAAATAAAGTCTTCAGCTGGGGCTGAGTGGGGAGAATATGATAGTCATGTAGAAGAGTGAGAGAGTGAATGGGCTGGGGACTTGCAGTAGCATTGCCAGCAACACTAAGAGCCCACTTGAATTTAACCAAGACCTGACAGCAGGCACATGTGTGCTCATGCACACACATGCACACACACGTGTGCACATACATGGTTTTTCTTTTCTTCCCAGCCTCAACTGCCAGATGCAAGCACAGAATAAGCTCAGAGTTGGACTTAGCTGGAGTTGTGGTTTTACCAGGCAACCATGACAAAGTAAGAAGAGGGTCAAGGGAGTTGAGGATTCAGGGAAGGGTATTTTAATTTTAATGATTGACAATAATTTCTTCCCAACTTTCTATTAAGAAAATTATCAAATGAGTAGGAAAATTGAAAGAGCCGTCCCCCAGTCACACTTTTCCCCCTATGACATTGACCTTTTGAAGAGACCAGGTCAGCTATAAGATATCCCACATTCTGAATTTCTCTCACTGTTTCATCAGGATGTCATTTACTATATTCAACTATTCCCTGTATTTCTTGTAAACTGAAATTAGGTCTAAAGGCTCAATTAGATTAAGGTTGCACACTTTTGCAATAACACTTCAGTAGTACTAGGAACTTCATATCACATCACATCAGAAGATGAGTAACGGGTTGTCCCAGTAGCATTGATGTTAAATTTGATCACTTGGTTGGGTGGTTACAGTAAGATTCCTCTGTTATAAAGATTGCTTATCTCTTATAGTCACCTAGAATTTAAGCTGGGTAAGTGAGGATATTAGAGACGTGAAGGACAGTGAAAAGGTGACAGGATTGATGGAACAGATCTACACGAGGCAACTGTTTTTAAATGTTTGTCACCAGCTGGGTGCAGTGGCTCACACCTATAATGCCAGCACTTTGGGAGGTGAAGGTGGGCGTATTACTTGAGGTCAGGAGTTTGAGACCAGCCTGGCCAACATGGTGAAACCCTGTTTCTACTAAAAACACACACAAAAAATTAGCTGGGCCTGGTGGCGGGCGCCTGTAATCCCAACTACTCAGGAGGCTGTGGCACGAGAATTGTTTGAACCTGGGACGTGGAGTTTGCAGTTAGCTGAGATTGTGCCACTGCACTCCAGCCTGGGCGATAGAGTGAGACTCTGTCTCAAAAAAAGAAAAAAAAGTCACCAATTATTCCATTAATTGCCTCCTCATCACTGTTGAACCTGCCCACAAGTGTGTGAGTTGTTTAATCCCAGAACTCAGGTGGCTTCCTTCTCATCACCTAAGAGCTTACTCCCTGGCTACTTTTCATTTTGAACAGACAATAGGTCTGCCATCTTTGGAGATGTCTTTTGTCTTCAGTCATGCTTAATGAGGGATAATAACCCTAGTGACCAGACACCCAACACTGTGCCCTGTCCCTGTGAGGTTGGGGACTCATTTGGACTCTCCTCAGTGCTAAGAAATCCTCATTCTCCAACTAATGAGTATAACGCTTGCCTATGGCAGTGTTGCAGGCTGGCCCACAAGCCAGAGCCAGGCCTGTCTTGACTGCCAGGAGGAGCTCTGGGCTGGGGTCCTTAGTTCGTCACTGACCTTCTGTTCTTCACTTCTCTGATTTACTCTGGCTAGATCAATCCAGCCTACTTTTAGTAAGTGACCTTGTTTTAAATTGCTCATCTGTGGCCAGTCACACATCCCTTGCTTTATCACTTCTGCCTGATTAGCTTTGTCCCTGACAAGCCTGAGCTTTGAATTCAAAATAGCTGAGATGTTGGTGCCCCCTAAAGGACACATGAATTTTAAAGGTTGACTCTTTGTTACTAATAACTAGCAAATATTTAGTTGGGTTTGTTTTATGTTTGGAGTTTCTTATTCTCTTTTGAAAACTGGTTAGCAAGTTCTTAAATGAAATGGACAGGCCAATATAATTAATGCAGTATGCAAAAGCCCTAGGGTCAGAGCAGAAAAATAGTGTTTGTCCATTAAGTGCTTAAAATTTTTAGATACGAGTTTGTGAACAAAGAATATATAAATTACTTAATTTCTGCTTTAATTATGGAATGATGGAGGGGAAGGTAAGTAAAGCTAGAGTTTTCAAATATTTTAATTAGTAAGAATTTCATGCCTTCCTATAGCATAATTTTTCTATATATGACAAAATTTGAAGTGTCAGACAAATTAATTCTCTAGAATACAAATGGAAGCATCTGTATTTTTATTTTATTTTTTGTTTTTATTATTTTTATTTATTTATTGTTTTGCTAGGGAGAGGCAAACATATCCAAAACTTAGGATTATTTGATGAATATTATCCAGAATCAGATCAAAAGAATATTTAATGGTGTTTTTATTTGAAAATAGGGGATTTTTCCTGAAATAGATATCAAGTAAATAAGTTATTTATACAATAGCTCTGCGGTTTTTTGTTTGTTTGTTTGTTTTTGTTTTTGTTTTTGTTTTTTTTGAGATAGGATCTTGGTCTGTCACCCAGGTTGGACAGCTTCAACCTCCAGGACTCAAGCTCTCCTACTGCCTCAGCCCCCCAAGTAGTTGGGACTACAGGCACACAGTACCTCGCCCAGCTAATTTTTGTATCTTACATAATAATAATCCTGTTCTAATTTCTTGACACTACCATTATTTCAGAGGCTTACTTTTAAAGCTTAAATAGGACTATGGAACATATCACAGATGTGAGAGCTGGGTTAATACTTAGCCCACAACCTAATCCGTTGAACCAGAGCAGCGCTTTTTAGGCCTGGAGTTCTCTGGGAAGGTATTTCAGCAGGTAAACTGAACAACCTCACTAAGGCAAAGGTATCCTTTTAGGAGCCAAGTGTCAACTAGGAGATGGAGGAATAAGAGTCTCTCCAACCTGTCTGAGAACCAGTTGCAGATATTATAGTAACCACTTCTAATCTTTTGAGGGTTATGTGTTCTGAAAACCTCCATAGTAGGAGAATTTGCATTGTGAAACGAAATTTTGGGAGACCAGAGGGAAGGGAGGACCAAAGTTGAAATTAATACATGAAATTTTGTATAAATATTAAGTTCACCAAGAAAGTAACAACAACATCTGAAATCAAGATAATACCAATGACATCTTACGCATCTTGAATTTGCATAATTGAGCATCATGCAAATTGTACTATCTCATGACTCATCACATCCTATGTCATGGGAGATCTCTGTGACCCTGGAGACCTTGATGAGTCATGATGGAATGCAGAGCCCCAAAATAGCTTCCTTTACTACCACAGTGAACTTTGCATGCCAGCCCAGCCAGCCCCTGGCCAAGCTCAGGGCTAGAAGAAGTGCCCAAGGAGATGTTTTTCAAGCCCAGACTGATACTCCACTGGAGAGGGCAGGCCTGATCAGAGACTAGAGTTGGGTGGTACTGGGCAAAACTGCTGGTTCCAAAATAGGAAAACAAGACTTTGGTAATTCCACAAACTTCCGATTCTGTGACTCACTCTTGCAGTGGGTGGCACTTTGTGGAGTGAGGCTGGGAGACCTGGGAGGCTGGAGGTTCTTCTGGCTCTGGTGGTATGGAGGGTTCAGCTTCTTAACAGCCTTGAAGCTCTGACTCCAGTAGTGGGTAGTATTTTGGGGAGGTTAGAGAAGAAAGAGAAATAAGGAATGGTATGTGGATATGTGTGTGTCTTTTCTATCTTTGGTGATGTTTAAACAGGGAGTCAGTAGGTAGAAATGATTCAACTGGAGAAGGATGTCCTCATGCTAACAGAAGTGCTTATTCAATCTGAATACTAGAAATCATGCACATTGCATTTGGAATGACATGCATTTGCTAAGAGAGCCACCTCCTAGTCAAAATGTACCACCATGAGTTCTGCTGACCCTTAAAAATTGACACCAAGGTTTCCTTTCTTTTCAGGTCCTCAAGTATGTTCCACATAATGAAGCACAATCATTACAGCTCTCGGTTCGGCAGCAAACTTGGGCTGCAGTGCATCGGTATGCATGAGAAAGGCATCATATTTAACAACAATCCAGATCTCTGGAAAACAACTCGACCCTTCTTTATGAAAGGTAAGCAGGTACTTAGCTACAATCTTCGTTTTTGTCTATGAATATGCCTTTTTTGAAATCACATTTGTTAAATATTTTATTTATTTATTTATTTATTTATGGAGACAGAGTCTGACTCTATCACCCAGGCTGGAGTGAAGTGGCACGACCTTGGCTTACTGTAACCTCCGCCTCCCGGGCTCAGGTGATCCTCCCACCTCAGCCTCACAAGTAGCTGGGACTACAGGTGTGCACCACCATGCCTGGCTAATTTTTGTATTTTTTGTAGAACTAGGGTTTTGCCACATTTGAGACCAGGCTGGGCTCGAACTCACGGAGTCAAACGATTCACCCGCCTCGGCCTCCCAAACTGCTGGGATTACAGGCATGAGCCATCATGCCCAGTCTGAAATCATATTTTGAATTATACTGCAATAAAGGAGGAAGAGCTAACATTCATTATACCTTTACTCTGTAGTAGCCATTGTTCTAAACACTTGAATGGCAGCCCCATGTGGTAAATGTTGTTATCACCTACAACTGGCAGAAAATGAAGGCATAAAGAGGTTAAGTAACTTGCCCAAGGTCCAAACATTAGTAAATGATAGCCTGGAATATATCCCCGAAGCCTATATTTCTTAATCACCACACATTCTTTTCTTCTTATTGATATGCAAAGCAATTTTATAGGTATAAAGAAGAGATGAAGATATATATTTAGAGTCATTTCAGTTAACAATTTAGCATGTCACCCATATGTTTGATTTAAACATGGCCACACAATGTGTTTGCTGAGTGCTTGACTGACAGCCCAGATGATTCAGCAGGAAGCAATTTGTGAATGAAATTAGAGAATTTTAGAACTGAGAGGGACCATATCTGTCATCTAACCTCTGATTTTAACAGTTGAGGAAATAAAGTCCCAATGAAGTTATGATTTTCACCCAGGCAAAACAGGGAGTAATGAATGAGCTGAGACTCGGTTGCAAGCCTCCTTATCCAGTGATTTTTCTCCCTTTACCTCATCATGCTGGAAATGAAACTATTGGGGAATACACATGACTAAGCCTGGACATTACTATCAAGCATCAAGAAAAATAATCGTGCCCTAGAAACCTTGTTAGTGGTGGAATCTGGGGCTAGATGATTTTAGGTCCGGCCCTGTCTATTCACAGCCTTCCCTCCAGCAACCCGTGCTGTGAACCCAGGTCACCACCTTCCGTGTGCCTGCTAAGATGGGGAGAGCTATGCCAGTACCTGTGCCCACTGGGTATTGAGTCCAGCCTTCAGAGCTGCCCCTCACCAGGACTCAGCACAACTCTTGCTGTAGACCCCAGTGTATCACTTTCCTATTGCTGCTGTAACAAATTGCCACAAAATAAGTAGCTTACAAGAACACATTTATCTCACAGTTCTGTAGATCAGAAGTCTGACATGGATCTCAGTGAGCTGAAAATCAAGGCATAGGCAAGGCTATGTGCCTTTCTGGGGGCTCTAGGAAAGACTCTCTTTGTCTTTTCCAGCTCTAGAGGCCAGCCACATTCCTTGGCTTGTGGCCCTTTCCTCCAGCTTCAAAGCCAGCAACAGTGGATTGAGTCCTTTGCACGTTACATCTCTGACCCACCTTCTGTCATCCCATCTCTCTCTGGCTTTGACCTTAGCTTAGAAAGGTCCTTTGCCTTTTTTTTTTTCTTCTTCTGAGACAGAGTCTTGCTCTGTCGCCCAGACCAGAGTGCAGTGGCGCCACCTCGGCTCACTGCAAGCTCCGTCTCCTGGGTTCACACCATTCTCCTGCCTCAGCCTCACAAGTAGCTAGGACTACAGGCACCCCCCACCATGCCCGGCTAATTTTTTGTATTTTTAGTAGAGATGGAGTTTCACCGTGTTAGCCAGGATGGTCTCGATCTCCTGACCTTGTGATCCACCCACCTCAGCCTCCCGAAGTGTTGGGATTACAGGCATGAGCCTGTAATCTTTGCTTTTAAGAACTCATGATGAGGTTTGTCCCACCCCATTTCAAAGTCCTTAACCTTAGTTATATCTGCTACTTTTCATGTAAAGTAACGTATTAGTTGGTTCGGGGGATTATGACCCAGACAAATTTAGGGTGCTATTATTCTGCCTATCACTCATGTTGGGGGAGATAAATCTCCTTATACCTTATAAAACTATGGAACGAATTAATGGAAAAAGTATAGGACTTGGTATTACAGGTTGTGAGTTTGAGTCCCAGCACTGCCACTTGCTACCTATCTGACCTTAGGCAAGTCGCTTCACCTTTCTGAGCTTCAGTTTCCCTATTCACAAAAGGTGATAAATGTTATAAAACTTGCACTCTAGGGCTATTGTGAAGAGCAAATGAAATAATGCTATAAGATCCCACGTTTGACTTTTTCATTTGGCTCAGGCATATTAGGAATATGTGAACTAGTATTTAGGAGTAGTTAACTTTCACATACTAATATCCTCTACCCTGACATGCAAGAGCTAATTAAAAGAATCTCTAAGTTCATCCATTTGTTTGACAAACCACCGTTGTCATCACTGAACTAGGTACCAAGATACAATGACAAACCAAATGTGGTTCCTGCCCTCGAGGAACTTATAATGGGGGAGGGGGGTTTGAATTAGGAAGGGGCAGCCCAGCACATCACCAAACACTACCCTAGGTGATAGTAATGCTGGCGGTTGCACGGAGTGATGCCAAGTACAGATGAACAGGCCATCTAAAGCACACTGAGGGGCAGGGGAGACTTTTCAGAGGACTGGATGCTCATAATGAGTAAGGTAGAAGCTAATTAAGAAAACAAAAGACAAACATTCTAGGAGTAAAGAACAGGATAGCCAAAGGCACAGATGAATAGTTAGACATGACGCATCCAGGGCCCTGTCAGTAAGTCCTTGTGCCTGGTGCAGATACATTCAGGGACGTGGCCAAGGGGAGGGCAGGGCCATATCACCAAAAATCTCTCGGTTAAGGCAAGGAATTGAGCTTATCTCAAAAACTATGGAGAATCACTAAAGATTTTAAGCAGAATGATATGAACATATTTGTATTTTATAAAAATCCCTCTGGTAGCAGAGAGAATGACTAATTGGAAGGAAGCAGGACCGTGAGCAGTGAGAACATTTAGGAGCTACTGCAGTGATGCAGGAAAGGTGGAGGGGAGGCTGTGGGTTCAAGATAGTCAAAAGGATAGACCCTACGGTAGTAGACCCTATAGTACTTGGAAATTAAGCCAAACATCTTTGTGACTTTTTTTTAGATAGCCTTCTATAGGGAAGATCAGGGTTTCTACAAAAAAGTGCTACACAATTGGACCCAAATTCATAATCCCAAGAAATAGGAGGCTAATTGCTTATTGGAAAGTTCACTGTGGTGTCTGACATTTCTATAATCAATGAGAGTCCTAAGCATTTTTCAGTGAATTTCCTTTTAGAGTTAGACTCCCTGTTGGTTTTCCTGATATAGCAGAAAGTTTGGCACAAGTTTCAGTAACGTTAATGAAAGTATTGACTTACTAGGTGAGTCTGTAGAGAAATAGTTAAGTGCAACTTAGGCAATGGCCCATCTTGGGAGGTGGGGAAGGGTGGGAGCGAGGGGTGAAGAAATAGCATATGTTTCCCAAAACTGCCGAGAAATGTGTCCATATTGATGGTATTTGCTGTTTGCTTGCCCAATTTTCTTTTGACTGGACAGATTCAATACGTTTTGGCACATTTTAAAAATTAAATCATATCTACATCATTACCACTGCCTATAAGCAATGTTATTACATTTTTGCCCATAAGTTTGGCATGTGGCTTCAAGCTCTTTAAACACAGAGGCAAATCATGCATGAGCCTGGGAGAAAACCACCAGTGACATTCTAAGCCAACCCTTCCACACAAAGGGTTGAGTCATTTGTCCTGCTTGCTGAAGTGGCAGTCACCCAGAGAACAACATCCTGGTCTTTCACATCTGCCAAGTCCTTCCTATGGTCAGAAAGCCTGCTCCTACCTCAACTTTCCTTCCAAGATATGTGGAAATCTCAAAAGTCTAGGACCAGTCCTCAGGCCTCCTTTCTTGTTTGCAAAGTATACCTTCAGGCATGGGGGTTCTGCAGCTTAACCCAGTGTGTGTGTGTGTGTGTGTGTGTGTGTGTTTAAGAGAGAGAGAGAGACAGAGGATAATCTTCTTCTGGAGTTACATCTACAAAGTTTCCCAATATTTTTTTATCTCATTTCAAAGACTCTGACGTTAACAACAAACATGAATAATAAAAGATTTAAAAAGAAAGATTACTCCTAAAAGAAGCTTAAAGAAACTTAACACAAAGAGAGAAAGGGCACTTTAAGGGTTAAACCCTCCTGTGTAGGCCACCCACCATCAGGACTGCTCAGATAGTCAGGAACAGGGCAAGAGTGAGATCAGAGCCAGTTTACTCTGTTTTCATTCATTCATTCTTTCCTCTGTTGAAAAAATATGTATGAAGGCCCCCATGGACCATCAGCTTGAAGGGCAATGCTAATGAGCGACTGTCACTGTCCTTAAAGAGCTCTCAGTTCAGTGAGGGAAGACTGGTAAGCAAGCAAGGAATTGCTTAGCTGTCATGCCGTTGGTTGAGTAAAATAAACCTGGAAGTAGTTTGAAGAGAAATCAAAATTAAGAGAAGGGCACTTTGGGGGATTTTTACAACTAGCCTTTTACACTTTAACAAGAAGCACCTTAGATCAAATAGGATCCAATTTGACCAGTTTTCCAGTAATATCCTGCCACCTGTTGAAACACAAAATAAATATGATCCTAGGCAAATCCAAATCAGCTTTGGAGGGAAATGTATACAATAAATATGAAAAAATCACTGATTTGTGAGTTATGACCACAAGTACTAAATGTTTCCTTTGCAGTCTCATAAATGGCTGGCTAGAGCATGAAAAAAGTTGAATTTTTAACAGTTTGTTTAAAATAATGTTTGTCCCTATCTTCCTTCCATTCATTCATTCTTAACTATAGGATAGTACGTGCTTATGGAAAATCACAGAAAAGCATAAGATGATGAAAACTTCCACCCAATTATTAAATAAAAAATTGTGGACAATTAAGCTCCAACATAAAAAGCTAGAATGGCCTGATTTTGTGTGTGCCCTGGAGTTCATGATGGCTGATTCTCTGATGTGTACCCTGCAGCTCTGTCGGGCCCCGGCCTTGTTCGCATGGTCACAGTCTGTGCTGAATCCCTCAAAACACATCTGGACAGGTTGGAGGAAGTGACCAATGAATCAGGCTACGTGGACGTGTTGACCCTCCTGCGGCGTGTCATGCTGGACACCTCTAACATGCTCTTCTTGAGGATCCCTTTGGACGGTACTGACATTTTCACTCTCGCATCTTGACCATCTGTCCTTTATTGAACAAGGAGCTAGGAGGGTTAACAGACCAAAGGAATCACATGCCGTTTTCTACATTGCTCTTGTTCAAACATTTCTAAGTACTCCTCGTTTTTTTCCCTAGTGTTTCTGCTTTATTCACTTATAAAATATAAATTTCCATAAAGTAGGGGCCAGCATCTATTTCTTTTGTATCTTTCCTCATTACTCTAGGAAATAGAATTCTACCCACAGTTGAAACTTAACAACTGTGAAGTTCATTTGGTTATTAGCATATCCTACCACCAATCAACTTTATATATTTAATCATTTCCAACTGTTCTTTTGGGCATGATATATACATACATATATACACACACGTATATACACACACTCCTCCCTCAAAGCTACTAAACATGAAAATATCGTGCCTATATGATAAAAATGTCAATATTGCTGATGATACTGATGCTGATGGAAATGACGATATTAGCTGCCATTAACGTAGTATCTAATGTGTGCCAAACAGTGTTAAAAATTGCTATATATACATGTTTGCCATTTATTGTTTATAGTCTTAACAAGATGTCTCACTCAAAAGGCTAGTTTCCTCACTATGATACAGAAATGAATATGAAAACATGTGCATGCTCACGTCAAACTCATAGAACTTGGTTTTATTTTGGCAGGATTAAACCAATTTGCAACTTGAGTACAACTGCCAATATTTCGGCTAGTTCTTGAAAAGTTGTGCCATTGTGCAAAAGTCCTTGACTTTTTGATAACTTTTTAACCTAATGATCAAACACCTGACAGGAATGGAATTCACTGGACTTGTACCTAATTGTTTTACACTGTTTTCTATGGGTTACATTTTTTATTGCCATTGCGACCTTTATCCACACACTAACTTGGAAAGTATAGGAATTAAAAAATTGGTATTCTTTCTGATATACCTTTTTCGTTTTCTTCTTAAAGTCATTTAAATTATATATTACTCTTAAAGAATGTTTTGGTCTCCATTTTAGTAGTCTGTGCATAAGGTACTAATACATGTACACAAAGAAAAATTCACAAGCCCATTCAGATGTCTTTTAGAACATTACTTACCACTAAATATTTATACAGTTGACATGATGCTTATTATGCCCTTGAATAATAGAATTTGTTTTTTATTACTTCTTATCCATAAGCATTGGCCTTATATTATCTCAAGAGGAACAGAATTTATTATTAAACAAGATTCTTAAATCCATTATTCATATCGTGACCTCATACATTTTGTAACCCTAGTAGTGAATATACCCTAAAAACCTATAAATCCCCCAAATCACTCTACTGATAAAAAAAAAAAAAATGTACATGCAACTCTACCACCACACCAAAAAGCGTAAATCATTTGAGTAGTTTGGTGGTTACCAGAGGAAGGGAAGCGTAGTGGGGTAATGGGGAGAGAAGAGATGAAGAGAAGTTGATTAATGGGTACAAAAATACAGGTAGATAGAAGAAACAAGACCTAGTGTTCAATAAATCAGTGTAGTGAAGAAAATAAATAATAATCTATGTACAACCAAGTAGCTAGTAAAGAATAATTTGAATGTTCTCAGCATAAAGAAAAGATAAATGTTTAAAGTGATAAATATCCTCATTACCCTGATTTGGTTATTACACATTATACAAATCTATCAAAATATTACATGTACCCCTAAATATGTATATCTATTATGTATCAATAGAAAATTAATCATTTGGATTAATTCCATTCTGCTGTTGGCATTAACTATGTACAACTCAGTGTGACTTTTCCTGAATTAACACCAGTGTTCATTGATTCAAACATTCATTCATCAAACATTTATTGATTGCCTATTTTATGCCAGGCACTGTTTTAGGTTCTGGGGACATAATAGTGACCCAGACAGATAAAGTTCTTGCCTTCAAGGGACTTACATTCCAGTGGGTGATATGGACAGGAAAAGAAATAAATATCTAATAAAATATTAGGCAATAGTAAGTGCCTTGAAGGAAAAATGAAGCAGGGTAAGAGGACAGGAAGTGAAGGAGGGCAACAGTGGGTGTGGGCACTCCCTATTGCCACACTGGCTGTATGGTTTTGGGCAAGCTTCCGAATTTCTATGAATTGCAATTTCTTCAACTGCAAAAGGATGACATCACAAAACCCATGGCAAGAATATGAAAATGAAATTAAAAATCTCTTTCATAAAGCGCCTAGCATGGTGACTGGTATTTAGCAGTTGGAAATAAATGTCTATTCTCTTCCCTTTTGTATATTATCTGGTATAATTTGAAAAAGTAAGGGTTTTATTTCCTCTAGTATTCAATGTAATTAAAGAACATTTGTTAAGAGCTGATTGTGTGTGAGGCTTAGGACAAGGCATTGAAGAACACAAGATGAATTCTACACTCTGGATTGAATATAAATAACTATGAAAGCTACGTGATGAGTGCTATGGGGGAAAAATGAACAAAGCACCATGAGAACATGATTAGAAGCTATTAAGTGTATAATCCATATAAACTGTCCACTTCATGGCTCTGCTTACCCAACACCAAATGAAGTTAAAATGTGCTTGTTAGCCACCTAACAGGCTCCACTTTTTGCACTCCCAGGTACCAGAGTGAAGGCCATAACAGTCGTAATTACTAGTTCCATTTGTCCAGAGAAACAGGAGCAAGTTGGAAGCTCAGCCCGAGGAGAATATGTGAAATTACAGGTTGAAAACTTGAAAACTAGCAACTCATTGGTTAACTAGTCCAATTTGGATGGCAAGGAGAACAAATCAGTGCTTGATTTCTCTAGTGGTATTCACATGGCTAAGACTCCTACTGAAGATGGAACCTCGCTTAGCTTAGAACCCCGCACTGTTAGGAGAATCTACAGGAATGTTTTCTGCCCAGACCACCCTTCTTAGGCTCACATTTTGCTCAACTGCTCTTCCTTGTGCGTTTTTTTTTTTTCCTACAGAAAGTGCTATCGTGGTTAAAATCCAAGGTTATTTTGATGCATGGCAAGCTCTCCTCATCAAACCAGACATCTTCTTTAAGATTTCTTGGCTATACAAAAAGTATGAGAAGTCTGTGTAAGTAATACAACTTTGGAAGATTTATGAGTACAATTGGATTGGTTTTTTCCCCTTGTGTCTTTGCTGTTTTTGTTGGCCTCTCCGGTAACTTTTCTGCTCTCTAGAGCCCACAGGGAGCTGTTGATTAGGTTGCTGATGAAACACTTTTTACAGCAATCTGGCTGCATTTGGCCAGACCAGAGAGTAAATGAAGCCTTTGGCTGGGCGGCTTCTCCGCAAGGGGTCTGAGTGTGTGGTCTCAGAGCTTCAACTTGGGAACTAGGACACTGGTGTGTTTTGAGTTGAAGAGAAGGGTTGACTGATCCTGTCATTAATATCTGTCAAAATTATCTTTGCACAACTGAAAATCTGGAACCATAGAATCAATTTATAGTTGTGTTGTTTTTGAATGAATTTAACATAATTTAACTTGTAAGAACTGACATTAGTCTCAATACAATTTTTTCTTAATGAGTATAACTAACTTCAATAAAATGTGTGTGGGTTTTTAAAATTATGTATCTTGTGCTTTGGGGGTCCTGAAATTGTCATTAAATGGCTTTGTTTTGATCTTAGAATTGTCCATCAGAAAACCAGACAAATGCCCAGTGGCCTACAGGCTAATCAATGGGTTTGTAGAGTACAAGTAGCCAGTCACTAAACACTGCTACCTCTAACCACCAGTGGAAAGCCTATGGAATCTAGAAGCCTATGCTTTGTGTCCTGTTTCTAATGGCCTTGGGAAGTTATTTAAAGTAAGATATAACCTATCTTCTAGAGTAGGGGCATAGGTTAATGACATCATATAAGTAAGGCAATTAGCATAGAGCATGGCACATAGAGGGTACTAAATATGTTAGTTTCTCCCTTTCCTGTGTTCATATCTTCCTCAGATGTTCCTAACCATCTCAAGTTCTCCATCTCTAAATGTCCCCAAGCTTGTCTGAAGACCTGATCTTATTCTACTTGTGGATTTTGAAATTCAATAATATTAGTTTCTAGAGAAGAAGCCAACTTGATGTTGTTTTGTTTATTCTCTCATGGTTGATGAGTACTAGGTGAATGTTTTAGACACTTGGTTCTTTATACATTTCATTCCCACCAGAACTTATTGTGACTTGAAAACAAATAGATAAAAGATTCATCTCTTCCCTGTGATCAGAGTTGGTGGCAGTGGTAGTGGTCTAAAGAGTTCATTACATAGTTCTTAGTCATTAGTTTAGCCTTGGTCTTGGCCATTGGACCTATAGAAATTTATTGTACAAGTCTGTGTAAAGGTTTCTCTTAGGTTTCTGCAGTTCCATCAAGGAACTCTCTATGAATTTACAGGCTAGGGGCACTCCAACACCTCCCAGACCATTTGGGGCTAGTGCTCAGATGGGAATGCTATGAGCATTCTCGGCCTACTAGGAAGAGGGCACCACAGCCCAACTGAGTGAATATCTGTTAATTGTATGTAGGAGTTGCTCAGCAAACATTTGATGAATGCATGGATCAGTAGGGTATTTAAGTGTATCAGTGAACATGTCAATTAGAATTTGAAAGATGGATTTATTATACATTTAACGTAATACAGAACATTGTTCCCTGGGATAAGGGAACAATACACTTACGAAGAACACATACACTTAAGGACAGAGATAGGAAAAATTGAATTTAGATTCAAGGTGACTTTATTTTTCATCTAGTGTGATCCCTTCACTTTAAAAGGATGTAGGGCCCAGAGACTCAAAGTACCTTACATAGAAAGAGAACAACCTGAACTAGGACCTGACCCCACCCCGTCCAAGTGTTCTTTCAACCACACTGCCAAAATACCTATACATATTTATGCAACTGTTTATTCATTCAACACATATTAGTGTTTACAATGTGGCAGAAACTAACAAGGCATGAGAATAAACATCAAGAATGATACCTAGTCACTGGAGTTTACTGTTTATAACAGGAATCTCAAACTCAACAGTCTTCAGGACTAGGCAAAGAAAAGCAGGCTATGGGGGCCGGGTGCAGTGGCTCATGCCTGTAATCCCAGCATTTTGGGAGGCCGGGGCGGGCGGATCACCTGAGGTCAGGAGTTTGAGACCAACCTGACCAACGTGGTGAAACCCTGTCTTTACTAATAATACAAAAAATTAACTGGGGGGCATGGTGGTGGGTGCCTGTAATCCCAACTACTGAGGAGGCTGAGGCAGGAGAATGGCTTGAACCTAGGAGGTGGAGGTTGCAGTGAGCTGAGATCATGCCACTGCACTCCAGCCTGGGCTACAGACTGAGACTTTGTCTCAATTAAAAGAAAAAGAAAAAAAAAAAAAAGCAGGCTGTGGAAACATAAGACAAGGAAATGGAGGTGCCTGTGGCAAACTGAAGAGCACCTGACAGCACTCACAGGTTTTTTTTTTGTTTTTGTTTTAATTTAAACATTGTGCCTGCCAAATCAGAAATTGGAAAATATTGCTAGATTTAGCCTTTTGCTATCAATTTTTAACCCTTAACTAGAAGTCACAGCCTTGATTTTGCTACCAGAATCCAGAAACCTTAGCTAACTCTGGCACCTTAACATGAAGTATAAGGTCTATGTAATTTAAGAGTATTTATGAAGAAATAAAACAGTAATTCACTGACTCATAAGCACCAAGGGTTTCAATTAAAGCAGATCATTTTACCTAAATACATGGCAAATAAATCTGTTTCACTAGATGTCTTAACTGAGTACAAATAGACTATATTTTGACTTTTTTTCCAGCAAGGATTTGAAAGATGCCATAGAAGTTCTGATAGCAGAAAAAAGACGCAGGATTTCCATGGAAGAGAAACTGGAAGAATGCATGGACTTTGCCACTGAGTTGATTTTAGCCGAGGTACTGACCTGAACTAACCGTAACTCCCATGCCACATATGTTATGACTGTGTAGAGGTGTGTAAAGATCCCCTTTTGTAACTGTTGTGTATTTCTGCTTTTAAATACTTTCTCTAGCAGTTCTATAATCCCAATTCAAATAGCCAACACATTAGGTATTTCAGTAAGGCCTTTAAGATTGGAACATTCTAGTAAGACTGACTGCTAAGATTGTGACTCTTCTGTGTAACAATATAAAATATGAAAACAAGTTGGGGGAGGCCAAAGACACTACATACATAGATAACCGGCCTAATTGTTCATCTTTCAGCTAAAGATTGTCATGTAAAATGTCCACAGTCAATCACAGAGACATGTGGTTTCTATTATTTCATTTTGTTGAAGTTGTTGATCCTTGAGTATCACCTCCCCTCATTTTTTGAAACTTTGATTCACTTTCCAAATTTTTCGTGTCTTCCAATTGTTCAGAAACGAGGTGACCTGACGAGAGAGAACGTGAACCAGTGCATATTGGAAATGCTGATCGCAGCTCCTGACACCATGTCTGTCTCTTTGTTCTTCATGTTATTTCTCATTGCAAAGCACCCTAATGTTGAAGAGGCAATAATGAAGGAAATCCAGACTGTTGTTGGTAAGAATTTATCAAATAAATAACACAGCTTAAAAACAATTTCTTCTGAATGTCCATTTCTTATGTCCTAAAAATCTGCTATCAAACATAAAATTTTTTATAATTCACTCCAAACAATAAAGCAAGACATTCTGTCACATTTGATTATACCAGATAGACTGAAAAGATGGTTCTTTCTGTTGTCTTAATCATAAAAGTAATACATGCTCATTGGGAGGAATTTAAATCACAGTGATGTGTAAAGCAGTAAGTGACATCCCCCAATCTTTTCCACTCTCCTCTCCAGCCTCATCCCCACTCTCCAGTGGCAACCATTGTGAATAGTTTGCTGTGCATTTGCTAAAATCTTTTTCTGTTTGCCCACAAACACATATTTACAGTTGGATTTGTCCATTTTACAAAAATATGGGATCACATACAGTGTTCTGTCTCCCTTGTCAGTTACAAAAGACTTTTGTGGAATCTCCCAGGGAAATGATCGTCTCTCATTTATAGCAGTGTTTCTGGGCTTCAAGCGACCCGTTCACAAATGAACTTCCAGTTTGTGGCAGAAGGAAGAGGAGAAGATGACAGCAAAGACAGGGGAGTGATACATATCCCTCTCCACTCCAATCCAGTGATGCCAGCCCCTTCCTCTCCCCTGCCCTCTGCTCCTCTGCAGCGGAGCTTCCAGGTCCACACTCAGGTCTTCCCCAACTCTACTGCTTCATTGCTCTGTCTCCGCTTCAGTTTCATCCTGCTCCACTCTTCCACAGCAACAACCATGCCAACTTTGAAAGAAATCAAATTTGCTTTCTGGGAGAAAGCATAATTCCTCATTTGACACTTCCTTCACAAGAGTAATCTTTTAGGAACACATTTCTTACAAATGTGAAGAGATATCAGAGAATGTAGACTTCCCTCTCTTGACTTTACACAGACCCTGCAAAACAAGTTATTTGGCTGTAGAAGGGCATCATCTTTTTCAAACCATGGGAGTGCTGCTTGAAATAGTTAAACATAAGGAGAAATTTCACTGAAGGGTTAAATATGGGAGAGAAGGGATCTGCAGATGCCTCACACAGGTGGGAAGTTTCCTGGCAAGGTAGATAGCAAGGAGCCGGAATAACATCTAGACTCCAAATTCCAGAATGTTTTCTTGACTGCCTCCTCTCAGGTTCTCAGGTTCTGTGCCAGGTGCAGGGCTACAGCCTTGAACAAACCAGCACCATCCCTGCACTCGCGGGGCTCACGGTCTGGTGGGAAAAAGAAAACAAGCTCAATACAGTAAAGAGAGACCAAAGGAGGGCGTTCAAGGAAACCATAAGCCTTTAATACATATTGAATACAATTTATTTGAGAGGTGAAATGTGTGTGTACATGTTGATGTTCCCTGACACTTCAAAAGGCCTCTGCAAAGATGGAAAAGCAGCAGAGCCATTTGCAATTGTCCATGCTCCCTCCTGTGTGCCACACACAGACTGGGTAACTACTTCCTAGTGAGCACCTTTGGTCACCATCTCCATCATCTTCCTTTCTACTTCCCAACCCCAGCTATACAGGCCCCATTAGACCCTTGAGTGTGCCAAGGGCAGTATGTAAGGGGAAGGGCCATGAGAGGACTCTGACCAAACTAGACCTTTCCTCAGTAGCTTGGTTGTATATGAGACAGGGCTGCCTCAGGACCCTGGGCTATTTTTTATTCTGCAAAAGTGGCATCTCTGAAGCTTTACCATGTCTGGGAATAATCTGAGCCTCTTTGACCAGTGTCAGGCCAATCTGAGACAGTGAGGGTGTCCATCAATCCCCAGCTCACCCGGGGCTGATCTGAGGCACCTATTTTGTCGTGGTGGGGAGAACGTCCTTGTCACTCTACTACAGGTCTTTCTTGATGAGATGCCGAGGGACTATCAGTGATATGTAAGGGCAGATGACCGCACAGGTAACCAGAGGAGAAAATTTCGTTGAAATGAATCAAATCTGCCATCTCACTTTGACTCTGCAGCAGCCTGTGCATCATCTCTGGGATGGTTGTGGTGCCAGTTTGCTCACAAGTGAAGAGAGGAAATGAATGTCCCCTACAATTTAGAGCAGGGAACAAAAACTCAAAGATTTCAGAAAGCAGGCAGATAAGATGAATGTTTGAAGCAGATTGGGCACGGTCTAGATGGAACTGTGTGACGTATGCCCCCTCTAAAAGGGTAATTGGCCACTCAGCGTCAGCCCATTATTGCTATGTGGGAATGTAAGTTCAGCATCACCAAGTTTTCTGGATATTCAGGCTTTTCTATAAAATCCTCCAGTTTTTAAGGTAATTGGCTTCATATCTGAATTTTTATAAAATACTTTGTGGACTGAGCGTAACATATTTGGCCCTGGTTGCTGGTGTGCATTAGAATTAGAGCCACAGTTTGTTTCAACCAAGAGCAAACTGTTCTGTGGAAAAAACAGGAGCTTTGATGCCAATCACAGATGGAAACTAACATTACCTTATTTGTCCCTTTTATCTGTTTCCACAGGTGAGAGAGATGTAAAGATTGATGATATGCAAAAATTAAAAGTGATGGAAAACTTCATTTATGAGAGCATGCGGTACCAGCCTGTCGTGGACTTGGTCATGCGCAAAGCCTTAGAAGATGATGTAATTGATGGCTACCCAGTGAAAAAGGGGACGAACATTATCCTGAATATTGGAAGGATGCACAGACTCGAGTTTTTCCCCAAACCCAATGAATTTACTCTTGAAAATTTTGCAAAGAATGTAAGAGCCCTTCCTTAAAGTTGAGCATGTCATTCTTGAAAATGTCAACTGTTAAATCCTCTCTGGTTCTTTGTGTTTGCACCATAAACATTTCATTTTTCTTACTCATTCCCTCTGCCACCTCACCAGGAGCACACATGTACCCTAGCTTGGAGCAGGGCTCCCGTATTCATCCTCAAGCCTTCAAGGATGCTGGGTCTCCAGCTCTAAGAAGTATCTACATGGTGGCCACAAAATAGGTCAAAATGTGAAAAAGCTGGGCCCTTAATTTGGCTAAAATGAGGTGATTTTTGTTTAACCCAACCAACCTACTTTTCCATTTAAACTTTGTCATCCTGTCATCAGATTCAGCTATAGCACCATCTGAGCAAAGAAAAGTCCACTACTGCTTCAGATGAAAATCAAATGAGACCAGAAGATTTGGTTTTTGCAAAGTACCTTTGGCTCATCAAATGGCCCCATGAGCAGTAGGTCCCATTCTAAATAGGACTTACTAATTAGAAGAGAGACAGTTTTTCTTTTTTTTATAATTGATGTGTACTAGAGATTCCACCTTCATTAGGTCAAATTTTAGGCAATATGTTTTTCAATCTGAATTACATAAGCAGTTCCCTAAGTGCCTTTTTTTTTCAATTTGCATATGGTGTAGAAACATGATGCTAAAATTAATTAAGTACTCCAATTCATCTTGTTTCTACATGGGCAATCCAGATAATGCCATGTAAATCAGTAAACTGATCAACAAAAATTTGTTGAACATCTACTATATGCCAGGCACTAAGTCCAGATGTGGACAAGACAGATGTGGTCCTCATTAATTTTCTGCATAACTAAAATTAGTTAGATGCTTGGCACTGAATAGGCCAGTAATCTACATCTTTGCTTGCCTTTGTCTCTTATTTGGTATCACAAAAAATAATCTTTGCCTTAGTGACTTACAAAACAGTAGTAAATCTGTGGCTATTCCACAGAGCTACCTGATTATACTAACACTTGCTGTAATAAGATGGTTTGCATTACTCTACCCCAGAACATGAAAGGCAAAACTGGGGACTCTCTGAGGTTGGGTCGGATCACAAGGGGTGAATCAAACAGGACACAGAAAGAGCTTGAGTTCCAGTTGTTCATCTGAGGGGCTGGAGGGCATTGTGGCTGATAACCACAACACAGTGTTCTGACTGACACATGTTTTCAGAATGAATCAAACAGAGACTAAGTGACTCTAGCCTTTAATATTCTGGCTGTCTGATCATTTTCACAGGTTCCTTATAGGTACTTTCAACCATTTGGCTTTGGGCCCCGTGGCTGTGCAGGAAAGTACATCGCCATGGTGATGATGAAAGCCATCCTCGTTACACTTCTGAGACGATTCCATGTGAAGACATTGCAAGGACAGTGTGTTGAGAGAATACAGAAGATACACGACTTGTCCTCGCACCCAGATGAGACTAAAAACATGCTGGAAATGATCTTTACCCCCAGAAACTCAGACAGGTGTCTGGAACACTAGAGAAGGCTGGTCAGTACCCACTCTGGAGCATTTCTCATCAGTAGTTCACATACAAATCATCCATCCTTGCCAATACTGTCATCCTCACAGTGAACACTCAGTGGCCCACTGCATTTTATAGGCATATTTCATATGGGTTGTCACCAAGCTGAGTGCTATTGGTCATCTGCTCCTGTTCACACCAGAGAACCAGACTACAAGAGAAAAAGCAAAGGCCAAGAGTTTGAGGGAGAAATAGTCAGTGAAGAAACTATCCGTAAAGGCCCGATTCCACCAAATGTGCTTTGAGAAGGATAGGCCTTCATTAACAAAATGTATGTCTGGTTCCCCACTAGAGCTCTACTGCCTCAACCCAAGGTGATTTTTATGTCTGGGGCAGAAACACTCGATTAGAAAGATCAGCCCAATGTCAGGGTACCTGGGGCCAAACACAACTGCTAGTGTGAATTAAAATACTTTAATTTTGTTTTCTGTGGGGGTGGAACAGTAACATTCATAGTCTTTGGAGAAATGCTTAGAAATTCAGCATTTGACCCTTCCTGTGAATTAAGCCCAATTAATTCCTGTTTGTCCACATATGATCTGCCTGTGGCAAAAGTTAAATCAGAGGAAATTCTTTCCCAGTCTGTCAATTTATGCCTCAGCCACTTGCCTATACTACAATTCGTTGTATTACCTGTAGATTCAAGTAATACAAACTAATTTAGTAATAGCCTGGGTTAAGTATTATTAGGACCCTGTGTCTGCTGTAGAAAAAAAAATTCGCATACTGCACTTCAAATAAAAATCCTTTTGGCATGTTTCCATTTTTGCTTAGCTCAATTAGTGTGGCTAACCAAGAGATAACTGTAAATGTGACATTGATTTGCTCTTACTACAGCTTCAGTGACTGGGGGAGGAAAAGTCCCAACCCAATGGGCTCAAACTTCTAAGGGGTGCTCCTCTCATCCCCTTATCCTTCTCCCTCGACATTTTCTCCCTCTCTTTCTTCCCATGACCCCAAAAGCCAAGGGCAATAGATCAGAAAAGAACATGGTCAGAGTAGAACCCCTGAAGTATTTTTTAATCCTACCTCAAAATTTAAGTTACCTGAGAGATTTAACGTTATCTAGTTCATTGAATCATTGTATGTGGTCATGGATAAAATGCATACCTTGGAATTCGCTTTCTAAAGGAAATCAAATATGAATGGAGGAACTTTTCAAACACCACTTTACTTGTGTTATATAGCCAATATAACTATCTCTACTGAATGTCATTGAAAAACTGAAAAATTAAACTTATTTACAAATAGGTAAATATTTGTCATTGAATCCATTGCCATCCCATTTGACTATTCTTTTCATCCTACTATATAGTAATAAGGCAACAGCTGAGTATAAGATGAAAGTGTAATCTCCCTGAAAGCAGGAGCTATTTTCTTTCTTTTGTAATCCATCTGCATCCCCATCTCCCCATCCTGTCTCCCTGTATTCTCTCCCAAGCTCAGTTCCGAATAGGCACTCCTGCTCAGAGATACTCCCAACTGATGCAGAAACCAAATAAAGAGGTAGGTATTCCAAGAATTCAAGAATGGATATGAGTAAAAAATAAAACATTTAGTTGAGCTTGGAATTATTTGGATCATCTATATGGCCTAAAAATATATGGACTATGCCTGTGTACCTGAATATGTCTATAGTCAGCTCGAGACAATCATCCAAATAATTTAGACCCCTGAAAGCAAGGCCAGGATTTGCGATTTAATGTGTCCAGATTAATTCACTTGAAAATTAGTAACACTCTGTTTACATTGCCTCTGGGTGGAGCTGCATGGTGGAGGAAGTCCAACTTTGGATCCATGTACTTCACCTATCCAATACACTTGGGACATTTATGTATATTTTATCTGTATATATGAAGCCAAGGTCTGTGTCTACACAGTCAAAGTGAAATGAAAGTTTGATATAGTTGTACGTAGATAACTATTTTGCAGATACAAAAATATCCTAGGGAAAAACTGGGAGTGGAGGGATGGGGGGTGGAAATCAGGGATATGGGGGAGGGACAGGAAGAGGGGAAGTGTTGGTTTAAATGATCCAAGCAAACTCTCCCAGAATCAAATACCTGGGTAGTTGTTCAACTTTTCATTCTGCTTAGCCTGTATAGACAAACCCCATATGTTTGTAAGGCTTGGCCTAGGAATTTTGGAATACCATTGGCTTTTCAGTAGGCTGATGAACATGTATTTGAAAATTCTATTATCTCTTCATAATTTTGCCTCACTGTTAAGTGCTTAACTGTCACTCTTGAATGTGCAATGTGCTGTGGATTCCATTTTCATCAGTTCTCAAAGAACTGGAATGTGTAAATTATCAGTGAAATGCATGCATATAAGGGCTCTATCATTATCAAATTGTAAGGACAATTGTCCCCTTCTATATCTCTGGGCATACTAGACACCCCCATGCCTTCATTGAGATCCCATTTTCCCTCTCTCAAGTGGAAAATAATCACATCCAGCAAACTCTCTCATTATTGAGAAATACCACTTGGAAATTGCCACTTTTTATTCCTAAGCAGCACCTTTCACTGCTAATGGTGCTAATATTCCACAAAAGCATGTGCCATTGGCCCACTGAAGGATGGAGGGACCCTTTTCAATCTGTATCAGCTGGGCTCTGGGACTGAATCTCTCACCTATTCTTGCAGAAGGACATACTAATTAAACCTTATCAAAGTAGTAAGTCAAATGGAGCATATGATGCTTTCAGTTGCTCTTAGCTCAAAGAACAAAGTCAAGGGCTTAACCCTTCACGGCTCAATTCTGTCAGGGCTTACCTGTTTCAAATTCTTCATTTCCTTTCTGCAGCTTTTAGCAAGTATTGGCCTATTCTAGGAAGTCAATGACCATAACCCTGTTTCTACCAGGTCAACAAGACAATGGAATGTATTTAGACAGGGCAACCCCCATTCATCAAGTCCAGCCCATTAAGTATACTCTACCCCTCTCTATCCCATCAAGAAAACATTTCAAAGTGCAAAACAAATAAGAGTCATAAGAAAACAACGATAATTATCATAAGAATAACCTCGAATCCACTGTGATTTATAACAAAAAGCAAATGTTTCACAAACCTCAGTATTTTAGTTTGTTAGCAAAACATTTCTTGCAAAGAAGGTCTTAATTAGAAGGTATGGCAGCTGAGTGCCTGTGGTCCAGGTAATTTTTAAAGTTCCTTTCAGCACTGCGACTCCATGAATAGGGAGGCAGTGGAGCCCTGAATCTGGGCTCAGCCTTTTTGTAAGAATATGCTTTGGGCAAACTGTTTCATTTCTCCATATCACAGTTTTCTCATCAATCCAATGTGGATAATAATTATCTTATAAGCATTGCTATGAGGATTGCAAGAAATAATTTCTGTGAAGGCCTTTAGCACAGTGCTGGTACACAGCAGCCTCTCACTGAGCATAGGGCATGATAATGACAAGCTGAGTAATTAGGCTGAATCATGATCTCCTCAAACCTCTTCTTGTGCAGTAGAGGGCGGCAGGAGATGATGTGCCAGATGCTTCTATTATCTCACATTAGGCTTCATGACAACCTTCCCATTAGTATGAATGCCTCAGTAATCCCTGCAGCCTATTGATAAGACAGAGTCCCAGGGAGTTTGGGGACTTGCACCCAAGCACTCAGCTAGTAAAGGAGCAACCTAGATTCAAGTCCACCTCTCATTCCAAAGCCCTTGTCCCCTCTCTCGTGCCATCTTTTTGCAGCAGGACTAACCTGCTGAGAGGCTGGGGAGTCTCATTCCACTTGCCCAGCTCTCTCACCATGTGATGCTGGGTAAACCCCTTTTAAGGGCTGCTCATTCCCCATCTCATTGCCCGAGGAATATGAAGCAAGGAATATCTCAGTTTCTTCATCTATGAAATATGAATGATTTTACCTGCCTTCCCTACTTCCCAAATGTGTTTCAAGGTACCTTCTCAAAAGAGATCGAGGAAAGTGCTGTAAAAGTTTAGTTAGTATAAAATGGTAGTAGTATTAATGAGTGTATTCCAACAGCTGCCTCAATAAGAAATTACCAGATTCCATTTGGCCATTACCTGACCATCAGGGACATTTCTAGCTTCGCACAATTTCAATTCATTTCAGATTTGTCACTGCATTAAAAAATAAGGAGTGGATTTTATAGTCATTCTCTATAAACACACAGTGTGCAAGGCAGACCGCATGATGGCCATAAAATTGCCTACATTTTGGCCAAATTGGCAAATGCTAATAAGTCTATTATGATTAACAGCTATTATGCAATTTCTTCTTCTGGCAAGGATTTCATATATGAATGAAATATTCAGTCCCTCACATAGTTATTTCCAGTGGAGATAAGCTAGGGGTTTGGTGTGGAGGAGGCAAAACCAGACACGTGGGCACAAAGCTTTCCTCTTCTAGCCTAGTTAAGCCTGGATAGATGAAGAACGAAGGGTTGTGAAAGTACCTTCATTCTTTCAGGCCAGGAAAACAGTAACTGTAGGTACTTTCTTACTACATTAAGCCCTTTTAACAATCATGTCATTTACTTCTCTCAACATTACTGTGAGGTAGTTATTACTCTCCCCCATCCATCCATCCATTTTTATTCCTTTGCTACCTGCTTGGTAGGGTTTCCCTCCCTACCCACATATACCCTAACACATATGGCCAGTGTCTCAGCTTCTATTATCAAAAACTGCTCCCGAAACATTGTTTAAAAACTCCTTGGGAGGCTGAGGTGGGAGGATTGGTTGAGCTCAGAAGTTCGAGATCAAAGTGAGCTATGATAGTACCACTGCACTCCAGCTAGGATGACAAAGCGACACGCTATCTCAAAATAAATAAATAAATAAATAAATAAATAAATAAATAAATTGCTAAATGTGTCTACCTAAGTTATAAAGCACAGCTAAGTTTCAAAATGTCATCCTCCCTTACAGTAGAAGTTTTTGGTTTTCTAGGGAATTGCACAAAAGCTTGATAGGCAAGCTGGGCTTGTGGGAGGAGAGGAGGAGAGAAAGGAGATGGTACCTTCCAGATACCCCTAATTGGTCAACAGTTTAGGTATTGATATTGGAGGAATTTAAGTATTGGGAAACTAGGGAATTCTGTCTCCTATCATAACACACCAGCCACTCCACCATGGGAATAAGTCCAAGAACAGTGACTTGAGATTTTGCCCTGTCTCTCCAACCAACAGCTAGGGGTGAGTCAAACCGATTCTACTGATTCAGCTATGTTATGTAACCAAAGTAAACTGATACATATGTGTTCTCTAGTCATCCATGTTTTACTCATCTCCATGTCTGGCACACAGCATGCTCTCAGTACATTTCTGTTAAATGAATGAAAGAGTGAATCTTTAAACCAGTAAGAGAAGTTAGTACTATCAAATTCCTAAGACTAGGCACCACATGTACACATTCTAAAATGCAGCCTTTGCAGTCTACTAAGTGCCACTGGAAGACAGTGAATGATCAATCCACACACTTAAGCAAGAAAAACATGGCCAAGTCGGGGAAACCAGATAATCTTGGTCAGGGGTACTGGCAGTTGGGGATAGATATTCCTGCTTGTTGGGAAATTGGAGGAGATGAACTTTGGACTCCTGCAACTGAAGATTCCACAAGCCAATGGGTTTGTTCCCCTCTCTACAACCAGTTGGTGAGGATTTAGACATTTTCTAAGTTAAACCAAAAAGCTGGCTTTGGGGAACACATAGCCTCAAAGGGGCCATCTTTCAGAAGAATCTCTTTTAGCTTAATAATCAGCCCATACTCATAAGGGTCG